GAGAGAGTGAGTATCGTACGGGTATGTATCTCGTGTGTGTGCCGTCCACTCTGCAACAAAGAGAGAAAGAGACCCAAGTCAGTCAGTCAGTCAGTCAGTCAGTCAGTCAGTCAGTCAGACAGTGCGGCCGAACCACACCCCCAACAACCGGGCCCCGGGAAGGACTGGCCAACGCAAGCCAGTCGTGGAAAACCCCCGAAGAAAAATCACTGACTCTCGTCGGGGCGGTACCTGAACAAATGAACCATCTGGGAACACCCAAAACTCGTCCTGTAGGCTAGCTCGTGCTGTAGGCTAGCAACCAAGAACCGCCCCCATTCATTGCAGATGAGGTATGCATAGCATAGCATAGCATAGCATAGCATGGGAAAGGCGACACATACGTAGGCCCAAGCTCGTAAGGGCCTCTACGAAGATTCAAGAGCAAGAACAGGCAGGGGGACAGGGCGGTTAGCCAGGGCAACCAGCCTCTTCGCCAAACAACGCAGTCTCGCTCCTGTGTGCGCCGGGTATCATGTTCAGTTCATGTCAATGGTTGAGTCCCTGTTTTCTAACACGCATTTTCCCTCCCACCACCCCGCCTCCACACCAAACCTCCAACACCCCAATAAACGGTACAAAAAACACTCGCTTCCTATTTGCGTCGCCCCCATCTGAACCAACACCTCGCAAAACATCCCCGCCCGAAAAACAAACAGCAACACTTCAGCCCGCGTTTGCTCCTCGCTGGGCTACAGCTTCTCCCTGGGCTACAAATTAACCCGCGATCCATGCCGATTTATCGACCCTTCTCTTGGTACCCGGCCTTCGATCCGGAATTCGGACCTGCCACAGGCTGCTTCCCGTTGCAAGAAAGGCGGATCTACGAAAATTTTACCTCGCCGAACCCAGGATCTACGAAGGCCGTCACTAAACTACCGGCCGAACTAATCGCCGCGCTCTCTGCACCTGAGCCCGTAGCAACGGGTTTTGACAAACTTTCTCCATCCCATCCCAGAGAAATTCCGGAACCCCCCCGTCGATACTGGAGCAACACCCGCCCGACCTGAGGGACATCTTTTCTCGTCATCATCTCATCTCCCAAAAAGAACCTTCTCGAGGCAACCACAGCATCTCCGACGACCTTCTTCCCGACCACCCCACATCTCCGCCAAAGGTCGCACATACACATAACGAACCTAACGGTTAGGGGCGCTACTACATCAACGCCGAGGACCCATCTAACCCGAACTCCGGGTCTATGGCGATCTCCAATTCATCGTCGTCTTCCGGCCCCCTCTTGACCACCCCCCACTCTCGCCATGGGTAGACCAGATGTTCCTCTTCCTCCCTCCAGTCAACCAGGAGGGGCTCGTTCCACATGATGCCCATGCTGCGGAGGATCTCAAACCTGCGGTGCGTGGTGGTTTGTAAAATAATGGGAGCCAAGAGAAAAATGGGGGGGGGGGGGGTCGTTGGCGGTGGACGTAAAAAAAAAAAAAGAGCGTGATCGTGTGGGGCAAACTCGCCGGGCGGCGCTCGACATCTCCGTCTGATGGACTTTCCCACTTGCACACAGCAGTCCACACTCCATTGCTGTGATCGAGCGGGCTTCTGAGTACACCGTCCGTGTGGTGCTTCTACGTCCAACCCCGATGCCATGACACAACGCCTTCTCGAAGTAGGAGACTGCCTCTTGACAAAACATGGAGATGCATGAGCTGGCAATGGCAGGAACAGTAAACAATCTCCCGAGGCGGTCTCGTCTGAAATGGTTCTCGAATAAATAAAGCTTGCTGCAGCAGCACCTGTGCACAGCTTTAGTCTGGTTCGTGAGCTTCACGTGTAAACTAACGTAATGGTGCGGTACGGAGTACGTACGGTCCGCATATCACATGCAGCCCTTTTTTTAATCAAATGCACAGAATATCAAGTCTCCGGGGATTAAGGTAGTCAAGTGTCTCCGGGATCGATCTTCCAGATGGTGATCATCCAGATGGTGATCTTCCTGATGGTGCTTTGGCTTCAACGATACGTGTTCCCCCCCGTGCTGCTGGTGGTGCTATATTTGTTTCCGGCACAAGTCTGTCACGACGGATGGTGAACTGCTGCCAACTTTCTGGGCTTGCATTCTCCTCTGCAGCAAGAACAGCGACGGCTGCTGCCGAAAACCGGCCGCGTTGGAATCGTCTCGTCGAAATCTCCCCAAATAAATATACTCGTGACTTTGGCATCCTCTTGGCCGTTGAGGAATCAATCAAGCTTCACGTATCGGTCCAGGCGGTGTGATATCTCACGCTATTGTAGCTGCCAGTCCACCCTCACCTTTCGGGGTAATTATCCATCAGCAAGTCCTTTTGGGCACGGATGATATTGAGGTACAGGCCCACGGGGGTTCCGTGGAGTGGAAGCGGCCAGGGGTCTTCGTGAGGGATCACGTACTGGGGCGAGACGTCCAGGTGCCCCTTCAATTTCTGCGACAACCGCGTACGTACATAGGGCGCAGACCAAAATTACCCCAAAGAGCCACGCGTTAATGGTAGGTTGGACGCGGATACGACAGGGATATGCAGAATGCAGAGAGGGTAAGGATTCGCTTCGAAGCGGGTACTGCAACCGTAACCCGCATGAAGAGCAGCGTGGCGGGTACATCCCACTTTGCGGCAGGCGCAACGAGCTCAGAAGTGATGATGTCGCTCCACGTACAAATCACAAACACCGGGCGCAAGCACAAAAACATTTACAACGCAGCAGCGAGGCACTACGACAAAGAGAAAAAAACGAAAAAAAAACAACGGAACACAGCAAAAGACAAAAGTTATGCATACGATAAAACGAAAACGAACAAAACAAAGACTGCTGTTGAGGTTGTATTCCTAGCCAACACCCGTTGAGATACTGTGAGCATACATGAGTCCAGCGATAAAAACTCAAGACCACAGCAGAGGGACTTTGCATACAAATTCTGAGTAAATGAGACGAGGCAGAGGGGCTTACAATTACTGAGTAAAAGGAGATGAGGACCTCCGGCCACTGGAAGTATAGATACAATTCGTCGTCCCCCCAGTCGAAGCCGAGCTGCTTCAAGGCCTTCTTGCGCTTAGGGTCCTGCCAAAACAAATTGGTAGAAGGCATCATGTCAACATGTCAACATAGGGGGGGGGGGGGCTGGTACGTGTATGATCGCAGTGACGTCACGTCAGGGTCGTGTGCAAGGACAGCGAGGTTGTGGCGATATGGCGGGTGAAATACTGAAAAACAGTGACACCGCCCCAACACATTTGAAAGCAACAAAAAATATCGAAGAAACATTAGTCTCTTTGCACAACAGAACGGCATGAGTAATCACAATCCGCTGTGCCGCTTCGTCGACGTAAGACGGCGCACATGACATCACA